TTACACGCTTTTTTAAATTCCCAGAATAAATAAACTTGATAAGTCCTGGGACGAAACCGGTTGTTTTTATTTTAGATTTTGCTTTTAAAAAATGCCTTATAAATATTGTCTTTTCCTATCTATTATTAAATTCTCTACCACGAAAAACTTATATATATATATATATGGAAAGAACAATCAGATTAATAATCTACAGTTCTTTAGCATTTACTTTTTAAAAAGTGTTCGATACAACGTAGAGTATAATATTTTAAGAATATTTTTATTTTAAAATATTTTACACTGCGACCCTCTGATCATTAATTTCCTACAAAGAATCAACCTCACCACTCAAAACAAAAACATTGTTTTCTCCTGGGTTCCCAGCCACATTGGTCTCAGAGGAAGCGAAAAAGCAGATACAGCTGCTAAAAGATCATTAACCATCATCATTAGTGACATAAAAAGTACCCCATACAGATGACAAACCCCTAATCAACAACCTCATTATGATCAAATGGCAAGAGTCGTGGAACTCCTGCAAAAATAAAAAAAAAACTCTAGGAAATCAAAACCATCCTCAAATAACAGATAGAAGCTAAAATTTCCAAAAGGAAAATGTCAAGAAGAGAAGAAATAGTAATGACTAGACTTCAAATAGGCCGCATCGCTGTCACCCATTCACACCTGCTGAAGGGTGAAGAATCCCCAATTTGCATTCCATGCCAGGAGCTATACACAGTGAAACATTTACTAACAAGATGCATAGATCTGGAACAAATACGATTAAGATACTATCAAGAAAACAATCTGAAAGACATCTTCAACAAAACTGACCCAAATGACCTTTTAGAATTTCTAAAAACAAAATTATATAACAAAATATAGTTGAAAAAGAAGATATCCTCTAATTATCATGTACTAAATCACAACATCCCCCGCTACCTATATCTCGAAAACAATAAACTTACAAAAGATCAACAAGAAGTAAACAAAAACCAAACAAATTCTTCAGCATTAAATAACCCAAAAGGGTTGATATGGCTGGTAAAACAAACAACTAAAGTATGTTTCGGAACTTTAAGTTTGTTCCATTATCAAGCGATGTTAGGTAACTTTTAATGAAAATGATTTACTTTTGAAAACAGAATGGTATTTTATTGAAGAGTTAAGAAAGAGTGGGAACAAGATTTCAAAATTTCATGGGCATTTCCTGTTTGATCAATCAAAAGACAGGTCAAAACTAAAGCAGAAAAATATAGCTTAGAGGTGTGTTTGTTATTCATATTTGTCTAGATAAAGTGAAATTTTTAGACGTGTTACCCTTACATCCGGTTATGAATATAATTTTAAGATACAATGAAATAACACATATATATATATTCAGACAATTTTATGTTTATACATTCTTTTTATAGATACAAATATTTAAGTAAATGTTCTGTTTATAATAAACAGTATTAGTAACATTTACCGGCCCGAATGTCAGAAATTCTCATAGAAAACATTTGCCCTCCAACAGGAATCGAATCTGTATTCTATATGGAACCATTATAACGCCTAGCGTGCCTTAACCGATTGAGCCACAGAAGATCGTTCGATTGACAAGGTCGATCTTAATGCTTTTAAACTACAATCTTCCATGAATCTCTCACGTACATTCATATCTGCTCAAAGCGTAAACAAATGTAAACAAATGACATCACACATTATGAAATGGAGAACGTCCGACAATTATTTAAAGACGTTTTTATGTTTTACGTTCTTTTTATAGATAGAAATATTCAAGTAAATGCTCTTTTTATGATAAACAGTATTAATAACATTTACCAGCTTGAATGTCCGAGAAATTTTCATAGAAAATTTTTATAGATATAGGGTACAGGTTCGATTCCTGTCGGAGGACGAATATTTTCTATGAAAATATACTTTGTATATATCGTGTATATACTTATTTCGTGGATTTACTTCGTGTATATACTTATTTCGTTTATATTTGACTTCATGCATATATTACTTAGTCCATAATTGCTGAAAATGTAGATATATGCTTGATGAAACAAGTATACAAATATATATATATATATATATATATATATATATGTATATTTGATAACTTTACAGAGATTGAAACTGAAATTATATATATATATATATATATATATATATATATATATATATATATATATATATATATATATATATATATATATATATAGAGAGAGAGAGAGAGAGAGAGAGAGAGAGAGAGAGAGAGAGAGGAGGCACGGTGGAGCAGTGGTTAGCGGCTTGGATTGAGGAATCGCAGAGCCGAGTTCGAATTCCAGTCGAATCCACTGCATTCACTTACGTGCTAATACCCTTGGGAAAGGTATGTATCCTCTTCATCTCCCTCCAGCTATGGGTAAAATAGCAGGACAGACTGGGTTCTATAGCCTTGGATGGCAACTGGTCTAGGAGAAGGGTAACTCTGAATTCAAAACCTGCGGAGGGTCGTTTGGGAACCTTGTGGCATGCATTCGGTGCACCGGTTTCTGTATTCGTCCCTCCAAAAAGTGTGGCTGGTCCTGCACAAGGCCTTCACCACTATAAACAAATCTCATGTGCCGGTGTCGGGATGTCGGTTTCCTGGGGACTTATCGGCCTGACCCTCATACGTCGAACGCGACGGGAGAGTCGATTATATATATATATATATATCTGTGTATTATAAAGTTCGTGTTTTGACCCTCACAAAAAATCGATCAGCCGATTTCTGGCAGATAATGGTTTTAAGGCAAACATTCTTTGTAATTAATATTCTCAATACAAAGGGACATTGCATCAGTAAGAAACTAGTATTATATATAATATATAGATTATATATATATATATATATATATATATATATATATATATATATATATATATATACAAGTATTGGATTGGTGTATACGGAATAAATTCCAATAACAATCAATACTATTCTTAATAGAGTGCTCAATAGAGACCGTAAAAAAAATATAATTTATTCGAAAATTATAACATAAATGTTAAATATTAAAATTTGTTTTTCCCATTTTTACGTAAAAAACTAGGTCCATTTTGTTTCAATTGCCAGTGTGCTGCTGGTTATGTGGGGCGTACTTCTGATGTCTTATCCAGTGATCTTTTAACAGTAGATTTTTCTTCTTTAAACTCCCAAAATACATGGAAAATATATGGTTACTACTGTTGAAATGATTGCACATGTCCCCGCCAACGTTCTTTGAAAGTATTCATAGAACTTCGAATATCAAAATCTTTTAATATTGGGGTTTTCTAAAGTGTTGAAACGAAATGGTTATTCTTCTATTGATTTTACAAGATATTCATATTGGGGTTTTCTATGTTGAAACGAAATTTTCAAATAATATATATATATATATATATATATATATATATATATATATACACATACATATATATATATATATATACATGTATATATATATATATATATATATATATATATATATATATATATATATATATATATATATATATATAGATGTTTAAAAAAATAAAAAATATTTATATTTTTCGGACTGTTGTCCTTTTTGTTTCCATATTGACGACGTGTCCCCAAGAAGATATGGCTCAGTGGTTAAAAGCGTGGTTTGAATCCAGTGACTTGACACAAGGAGTTGTGAGTTCAAAACCTGGCTATAGCTGAGGTAAATAAAAACTTGCAGAGTTAAGGTAAACGGAGATAACTGATGATGGAATATCCGGAAGAGGCATGACACGTGGAACTGAAACATCTTCCCGGTGACCCCAAAAAAGGGTTCAGTTCGAAATACTAATCACTTGAAGAAGGCTGAAGCGTAGAATGGCAACAAAGATGAGGAAAACAGTTCGAATAAAATAAATAGTGTAAATAGATATATATATTTAATAATAAGAAATATTTAATAGTATATTTTTTTATTTTTAAATATATGGAATGTTTTTGAAATAAATAGATCTTTGTAATTTTAAAATTTAACACAATCGTTCAGTGGGTGTTTTTCTGTTTTATAATGTTTGTTGATGTTAAATTGAAAATAAATGCAGGAATTCTTTGACAAAACTCATTGTTAGTTTCTGAAACACGTCATTTCAATATGAAAAGAAAGCATGGGATTATGTTGTCAAATATATATTTTAAAATAATTGTTGAATTCTCCAGAGCGAAGTCAAGAAGCAGAGCTAAATATTTTGAAAATATAATACAATTCCCTTATTCAATTCACGGTAGGATTGCGTAATCAATATTAAAGATTCATATTTCTTTCAAATAGTAAAAATATATATTCATGAAGTGAAATTATAAAATGATATTCATTAAGAGAATCATCTACCAGGTATTTTCAATTTTTAATTTCCCACATTTTTACATATAAGGAATTAATAAACTCACCACATGATCCTGTTAACTTAGTGTTCCTGTTAAGTGATTTTAATCATTATTAAAACTATGCACACTTGTAATATGTATTATCTTATCATAGCGAAAAAATATTTTCTTCATCTTCTGTAAAGAAAGGCAGTTACCTGTATATGTGACAAAAATCATAAAATAAAATTTATCAATATTATGAACTTTATTACCTCATATATCTACATCTTCTCCCAAGCAAGATAAGCAAGTTCAACATTCATTATGCGTTTTTCTAAGTATTATCAAACATTTTTGATTTGGTAAAATGTGGAAATTACTTTCTGATTCTGTCAATATTGGTTGTTATTATTTAGCGACATATCAATACCTCTATGGGGTATTTAATGCCGAAATCTAAACATTTCGTACGCAATTTTATTTCATTTTAGAGATAATAATGATTTAGTGATAAACGTTTTACTAATTACCCCAAATCTGTGAGAGAAGAAGTGGATTAATATATTTCGCAAGGGTATTTGCGCGTCCGTGAATATAACGAAACCAACTGGAATTGAAACTTGGCTCTCCGATTAACAATTCCAAGAAATTATCCATTGCATCACTCGAAAATCCAAGTTTAAGCACCTGTTATTCCCAAGCAGTCACCCATGTAGGTACTGACCAGGCTCAATGTTGCTTAACTTCAGTGATCCTAAGGGAACCGGTGTTTCAACATGATGTGGCCGTAAGTTCAATCATATTTTCTATGCTTTTAATCAATTAGTATAAATCAACCGTCTCATTATTTCTGCAATGCCATCTAAAATGTTCCTGATTTATGGTAAATAAAGTGTTTTTTTTTGCATTTTCTTAGAGGCGTTTAGTTTTGTTCTTTCTATAGTACATTTGCCTTTATGGGAATTTATTTAATAATTATTATAGTTGTAAGTTGCTTCCTAATAATATGCATAGTTGCTAATTACTTTTTATTACTAAAAAGTTATTTTGCTAAACATGTTCTAGTAAATGTTATTTAGTAATAATTTAAGTCTCTACATGTCCGTCCTACATCCGATAGCAAAGCCTCCGATTGGTATATTGGAAGTTTTGAGAAGCGTGGTACCAGTTCTTAACTGCTGTTTTTCCCAGGTTCATTCTGACACGGGTGGTAGCACCTGTTAGGGTCCCGGAAAATAGTGAACCCCAAAGTAAAAACAAAACACCATGAAAGTAAAAAAAAACAAACACATTTTTATTGTAAAATTACCAGCAATACATTTTTATGTTAAAATAATTACCGTTAATACCTATTTTAGTAAAATTACCAACAATACACATTTTAAAAGCAAATGTCCAGCAATACGGTTTTATAGTAAAATTCCCCGTCTCCAGTAATTATGTCCCCACAAACATGTATATACAAAAAGCTAAGTATCATCTACCATGTATTCAACTGTGAAAGCACAATAACATATATCATATTTTTATTAGTTCAATGCTCCCAAGAAAATTACATTTCGGTATTAAATAAACCATAAGGATTTGATATGACGTCAAACAAATAACACAACAACAAACAAGCCACCAGTCGTGGACGCCAGTTGCATGGTACCATCCTTTGGGTAAGCTGCAATCTCTGTATTTGGAACTTCGACATTAGATTCTACACATGCATTTTACTTTCATTGGATACAGACACAAGGTAGAGTGGTTTTCGAAAAGAGTTTTTCTCGGTTTTAGATGGACTGTCTTCCCTCATTTTTAATGTAAATATTAACCAGGACCGAGATTTCTTCGGTGATCGTACGAAATTACGCGTATTCAATTTGCGATGGCCATAAGCACACCGTTGTTAGGGTTGCAAGTTTTAACACCATATAAAAAAAAGCATTGGTTTCAGTGTATTTTCGAAGCAGTTGTTCCAATATAAATGTTTCCGTGGAGACGGGTGCAATTATGGATAAAGTCTCGTTTTCGTAGGCGTGGGACCTGCTGTCCCTCTAGTGAAAGAGTTTGACTCATATGACATATTGCGGGCAAGTGGACATAGTGAAACAGCGTACAAACCGCCTAATAAAGCTTGTGTCAATGGATGTCAGACCAGGGTGTAAGACATTAGTAAAAAGCCAAATATAGGAGGAAGTTCCACTCAGGTCTTTTTCCCCGCAAGAACTGTTGTTTGTGTAACAGACTCCAGTGGAGATGCTTTATTGAATGTTGTCATTTTAACCTCTTCAAGTAAAGGTCCAATAGGTAATATCTTCTATATCCACTTGATTCACACTTCCTACTATTATATTCATATCACATACTTCATTCAGTAACTTTTACCCGAAGTGGCTCTTGGGCATTGTATTGGTTGGACACAAATAAAGTAAAAGATATAAAGTTGTAGAAAATCATGGCTGCCTATATCCTGAAGGACAACGGCACATAGCAAAATAAGAAGTTAGACATTGTCTATTTAGGTTGTCCCCTCTTTTTTTGTGAGGATATTGTCCAGTATTCAGAGCGATATAGAAGGATTGAGATTACGTAGCCGTTCAGCACTCTTTTCTTTATTTCTAATGAAATTTCCCTGTTTCTTAATACTTTGTGTAGCTTTTGGAAGGCATCTTTCGCTATTCCAATGCACATTCGGATTTCTGTGTCACATTTTCTGTCGCCTCTTATAACATTTTTTTTGTGTTGTTTGACGGCTTCGTTTCTCCCTTTTGCTATGTCAAGCGAAAGCTCTCTATCACTTCCAAAAATGCTCGTTATATCCGACACTTCGTAGATGCCAGTACTAGTCGTAACACCTTCCAATAATATCGGCACCAGTAATACTTGTTCAAGTAGTAATTGCTAAATAGTATAATGATCAGAAGAGAATCGTAATCCGTATATTAATAGAGTAGAGAGAGTGAACTTATAGCAATAATGGATAAAGAAGAGTGATCAGTGATCATTATGCTACTTCGTATTTATTCACTTCTTTTATGATCACGTGATCTACTTAATAATGGAATCACCGGTGTTGCTCACTGGTGAACTAGTATCAAACCATAGTGTCGGCAACGGCACTTACTCTTTCTTATACAACAACATCTCAGATCGTTAAATCTCTGTACTTACTTAATGTTAACGTCTCCAATTCGTAGCTCAGACCTTAGGCGGTCCCATTTGCTTACATTTTCTATCTAGCATACTTCTGTAGAACCACATCTCCGTTACCTTAAGTCTCCACTTCATCACTGAAGAAATTGTCCAGCATTCACTGCTATATAGAACGATTGATACTTCATAGCACTACATAACTGCTGTTTTTTTTGTTTCTAACGGAATATTTCTATTTCATAATATTTTGTTTAGTTTTTACTTTGTGATTAATGGCCCTTTGAAATGCAGGGTTTAAACAAATAAGGGAACATATTAATTCTTCAGTAAAGCCACGGAATCTTTGATATTCGATTGGAGAACGAATGATAATTCTATTTTTTCGCGAACGTACACAACTAAAGATTTTCAAAGATTGCATCACTAGTGATTAAATAATAACGGAATCCAATGTTTGAGAATAAGCAATTATCAAGTGAGACAAACCTATCATCACGTTCTTTGTTTCTATAAAGCATTATTATTATTAAAAAAGCATTTACATAAAAGCAGTTCTTAAAGAAATGATGGATTTATATTTATTAATCAGTCAGATTTTATAACTTAAACCTCATTTTTAGTGGATACTCATATTTGAGTAGACGCTTCGATTATTTATTAAATAATCGTACCTTCATCCTCCTCGGCAGGAGATACCGCCTTTAAATGCAACGTGCTTTAGACCACCTCAGCCATGGAGTGCATTGACGATAAAACAAAGTTGAATAGTTCCTTATAAACGCAAATATTTCTCAGACTCTCGAAACATTCATGTCTGTTCAGTTAAATATCCTAACGTAAACAAAGCAATTTCTAAAAAAGATGTGGATTTTTATTTATTTATCCAACTGATTTTATTACTTAAACGTTATTTTTATTGAATACCGATATTTGAGTAGACTCCCTGTCTTTTTATTAAACAGTATATTTATTTAATTTTGTCTGTCGGCCTGAATATTCGAAGAAAATATTAAAGTAAAATATGCGCTATGGTAGAAGTCGACTCGTGACCCAGTAAAACCAGCCTCAGCGCTCATAACCCACCAAAAAACATTTCAGGGTTGATTTCTATGTCATTGAAGTATCGTTCCCAAAGTCTCATAATGTTTCTGTGCGCGATTTGTTTTTGAGTGGATAAGACGTTGCACAGAGTTTAACCCACTTTTCACCACAATTGCACCAGTAGCACAACAAATGCATCCTGGGTTTGACAATAGACTACATCCGGCAGCCTCTGATCGTGAGATTGTAGGTTTTAAGGAGTGTGAAACCAGCTCTTAATTGCTGTTGTTCCCAATTCCATCATGATCGGGGGTGGTAGCACCTGTTAGGATCCCATCTATGGGCAAATAGTTAATATAAATTAGACAGGACATTATAAAAGCATAAGAAATATATATTTTATAGTAAAAATACCAGCAATATATTTTTATATAAAGAATTGCCAACAATGTGCAAATACTGACAAACTCTAACGACTTCACCCAAATCTGTTTAGAATTTTATTTTGTTTACTAAACAACATAATGAAAGAACTTACATGACATTAATCCATACAATATCCTACAATGTTTTTTTATATCAGACTCTTTTTCAAAATACATATTAAACAAAAGAACACAGCACACGCATCATTGCCTCTATTGATGATGTCGACAGAAAGATGTATATGTACAAATGTTGAATATCTATCATGAATTGAGTTGCGAAAGCAGAATAACATATATCATATTTTTATTACTTTCAAGCTCCCAAGAAAATTTAATTTCGAGATTAAATGACCTATAATGACCCATAAGGAGTTGATGTGCCGTTAAACAGACAAATCAATCAATAGTTACGGAGACGTGGCGGTTGATTCCATCGGTGGAACCTTTCGCTCTGGCCATTAACCTCAGTCTAGAAAACCCTCTAACCAGCGAGATTCTGTTTCATTATCGCACTGGGTATATTGCCAGTAGTAATTCAGTCTCATGTGCAGAAAATCGGAACCACTATACACAGAGTTGTCTGCATAATTCAATTCCAGAGGTGATGGAATTAGGGAAAGTATTTGGGGAGGTGGGTGCTGGGCGCAAGAGTAAAAGAACCGTCGACAATTATTATTACTAGTTTTAACCCGTGAAAATTTTACGGTTTTCCTATTTGAAATCGCTGATGAATCTTAATTCTTCAGTTAATGATTCAATAAGCTCTTGGCGAGTTCTACGACAATGAAATATCTCTAGAAATTCCTCTATCACATCGTTAAGTATCTGAGCTTAACAACTTTAAGAAAATATTGCAGTAACAATGATAACAATGAATGCTGGTTATTATTTAAGAAATACGCAGGTACAAATGAAAAGATTTGAAATTGACAAACTTTTCCATTTCACAAAAACAGACATTAAACATTTCTTTCATGTTCTCACTAAAAACAAGTAGCGTCTTTGGTATATTCTTTGACTTCTAAGGCGTTCAAAATGGAATAGTCCATTATTCCTGAAGTATTAGCAGGAGATGTTAAACATTTCTATCTTTCTTTTTTTTTCACTGAAATCAAGTAGCATCTCTGATACGTCTTTTGTTTATCCACGCGATATAAAACGGAATATTCCTTTAATAATGA